CACATACACATACACATAGACATAGACATATACATATACATATACATATCTCTCTCCCTCACACGGACTCAGTATCTGTCAGCTGCGACGCACGACATAGCGATTTCGCTATGCACGCTTATCTACAAAAATGAGAATGCGAGAACTAAAATCACCAAATCTACAAGGGCTTCACATCCAGTGCCCAATCATCCCGAATCTCCTCCAAGCAGATTAGAGGTAGCCATTGCAAGTTGTGCATGTGTATTGTCGACTGAATGAGAAGACCATGATGCGCGACGACAGTAGCCATGCAAAGCAATTGAACCACGAACAAGCCTCCATGTATGTATGCATATAAATATACATATACATACGTACATACATACTTACATACATACAACATGCATGCACACATGCAGACGTGCACTCACACACATAGCATAACACGAAAAAACATGGCATGCCATAACATAGCATGACAGCACGACATTAAATAACATGGCATCACACAGCATGTCGAAACATAACATAACATTCCACACAATTACATAACGTAAAAAGCGCAACACAACACAAAACAACTCAACCACATCTCATAAAACGTAACACAACACGACACCACACAACGTAACATAACACAACACAACCGAATGTAACCTAACACAACAGACATAACGTTACACACATGCACGCCTGCCTACATGCATACTTACATGCACGCATACATACATACATGCGTACGTTCGTGCATGTGCACAAACACACACACACACAAATACATGCATACATACATACGTACATACATACATACACACACATACAGTCAAGCATAAATACATACATACATACAGACAGACAGACAGAAAGACGGACAGACAGACAGATATACATACATACATACATACATACATACATACACACATACATACATCCATACCTGCATGCATGCACACGTACGTACATACATACATACATACATACATACATACACTATACATAGCAGTCCACAAACAAACATCATGGTGTCAGTCATCGCCCTTTAAGCTACAGAAAGCTGAAATAGGGATGCAGTCATTGACTGGTATCCCTCGAATTTCCATACTGCAGCCGTGTTCTGAACGCAGTCATTGCCAACGTCCAGAGAGTCGAAGCTGTCGAAGCGCTTGGCTTTCACAGGCTTACCCTTCGCATTCCTCCTGCGTGGAGGACGTCTCCCCGTCGCCAGCCACCCCATCATCCATGAGTTGGATCATTTGCTCCAGGTTTGCCTCGGAGTACATGGTCGGAACCGAGGCATTGAAGCCCAGCTTGGCCTCCAACTGCTGGCGGATGTCCTTGAGGTTGGCCATGGCGTCCTGGCGCCCAAGCTACCTAGACGCCAAGTCCCGCGAACAAGCTGCAAATAGGTGTATCAGGTGCCCCTACGCTCCACAGAAAACGAAACAAGAACAACCGGCGTCCTTCAGCTCCTTCAGCTCCTCAAGGCGGCGAGGGGTGGGCACGGTGTAGAGCTTGTTGAGCTCCTCTTGTGCCTTCGGGTTCTTCAAGATGCCCCCCTTGGCACAGGCAGCATGCACGGCAGCGCCGTACGGGGCCATGGCAGCGGCGGAGGTGATGATGCCAGAGATGCTCGCCCCACAGAGCGCGCTGACGTCCAGGAAGTCCTGGCAATGGACGACGATCAAGTTGATGAAGGTAACGACCTGGCTCATGTAGGCGATGGCACCACCGATGTCCACTGTGCATAGTGCGGTAAAGATGCCGGTAACCTTGTTGATTGGCCCATTGAGGTTGACGCGGCCGCATTGGCCGCTGTTCACAGCCGAGTTAATGGAGATGCCCATGTTGGCGAGGTTGGCGACCACCATGCCGACGTTCACTCCACATTGCACTCCAACTCCAATCGGACCCTCTCCAATCATCAGTCGTCGGCCATCCCGTACCGTCTGGTCTCCGAGAACGCTGATCTTGGTGGTTGTGAGCTGCGGGGGTACCCCTGTGCATGTGGCCGCCGTGAGGGAAGCGGTCGCCGCTAGCTCCCCCATCACAGAGACGAGGCCAGTGACGCCGACGGAGCACACAGCATCCACATTGAGGTTGAGGGCACAGTTCGTGGCGGCATAGGAAAGCTTGGCAGCCGCATTGGCCACCCAGGTCACCAGAACAGCGCCGTTCACCTGGCAGGCAAGCTCCGATTCGCCATCACGAGGAGCAGGACAAGTCCTGATGATCGCGTTGATGTCATCCCCCATGCCGACCACGGAGACGAAGGCCTCCAGCACATTGAATGCGCAGTAGGCATTGGTGGCCTTGCGCATGCGTGTCTCTCTCCTCGTCGCCTTGTAAGTTGTGATCTCGTCCTTGGTCAGCATGTCTCTGGCAGCATCGGCAGGGTCTGCCGGCAGAGCACGGACCTCGCGCTGCTGGAAGTGCTTGGAGTACTTGCGGCCGGTGCTCTTCATGGCCTTCAACACGATCTTCTCTGCGGCCGAGTGCTTCTTGACCTGGGCTCTTCTTAAGGAAATTAATTAACTCTGTTATGTACTATAGATCCCTATTAATTATAGTAACTTAAATAAAAAATCCCTTAGCAAGAGCCAAGTGACTCCCTTCTTATGTAGTAGTACTATAGATCCCAATTATCGTAACTTAAATGAAAAAATCCCTTAGCAAGAGCCAAGTGACTCCCTTCTTATGTAGTAGTACTATAGATCCCAATTATCGTCACTTAAATAAAAAATCCCTTAACAAGAGCCAAGTGACTCCCTTCTTATGTAGTAGTACTATAGATCCCAATTATCGTAACTTCAATGAAAAAAATCCCTCAACAAGAGCCAAGTGACTCCCTTCAGAGCATCCGCCTTCAGAGCCATCTGCGCGTCCACGCCGAGGTCGGACTTGCCCTGGAAGGCCCGGAGATCCAAGCCCTGGCAGAACCTCGGCGCCTTCCTGGGCTTGTTTTTTGGGGGTCCGCTTCAATCAAGTTAGGGCTTTAGGGCTTTTGGGCTTTTGGGTTTTAGGGTTTAGGGCTTTAGGGCTTTAGGGCTTCAGGGTTTCGACACTCACACTCGCACACAGGGTTTAGGGTTTAGGGCTTCAGGGTTTTTGGGGTTTAGGGTTTACGGTTATGAGTATAGGGATCCACAGTAAATCATAGGGCCTCCCAAAAACTTAGGGTCCCTTCCCCTATAAAAGAAAAAACGCCGCCAAGCTTCGGCATGGCCATGAAGCCCAGGACTCCCAGGCCCAGAGCCAGGGCCAGGGCTGCTTTCTTCATCCAACCACGGGAGGTGTTGGGAGAGTTCTTCGCCTCTTCCTCGGACTCCACATGGATGGCCTCGAAAGCCTGGGGAGCTGCCATGGCTACAAGGTCAAACTCGCGGTTGCGCCGGGTGTAGCTTGCGACAAGTCCGCTTGAGCCGTATTTAGGGCACAGGACTGAGTTGCGCAAGCAATTCTCCGACTAGCAAGCGAGAACTTCGCCTCGAATCGTCCGAGAAGTAAGCTTACTGTGGCTGTCACTGAACTGAGGCCTACGGACACGAGCCCTGAACTACCGTAGCCTTCACGTACAAAGTGTTAACCTCTTTTTGCTCCGGATTGCTGTAAGCCTATTTCTTTCATGGTGCTACGGCCAGCCATGCATTGCCATGACTACCGTATACCGCGGCGTCAGAAATGCGGGACCCAGATATAATTGTAGCAGGTTCCTTGTTAAACCTGCTGCGCTTCACAATGCCCCGGCCTCCAAAACCTTGAACGCTTCGTTCGCCAACCTTTTCTGCATGGCTTGGTTGCGACCTCAGCAGGACTCCACAATCTCTAAACCCTAAACCCTAAACCCTAAACCCTCAACCCTAAACCTAGTAGTGGTAGTATTAATCCAGTGGATCTCGGATCTGGGGCTTCGGATTCTCCAATGACTCGCTGGCGAAAGATCATCTAAGTTCGTGGGACCACTCAATTTTTCGGGTTTACGCTCTCACAACTCGGACAAGCCAAGGTTTCGGGTTTAGGGTTTAGGATGCACTGCCTTCCGATCCAGAATGGCTGGCATAGACAGTTTCACACAAGTCAGGGCTCAGTGATGCATGTTAAAGATCCAGGAACCAGCGTCTGGACGGGCGCAAGCGGCAGCAAAAACGCCCCCACCGAAACTCCGACCCAAAACCCCAAACCCTCAAACCCTTGTATAGAACCCTTCAACAGGGGACTCTGCCAATCAGCTGGGAAGCAGCACTTCCAGACGATTTGCATCCAGGAAGCTAGGGTCCCTAAACCCTAAACCCCTAAACCCCAAAACCCTAAACCCCTAAACCCTTTTTGAGCAGGGCTGAGACCCGAGACCCCTGAGTTTGTTTTAAGTTCCCAAAAGAACCCCCAAGCCCCCAAGCTTGGCTTAGCTGCTCCTCCCCTGATCCGTAAGGCTCGCGAGCTTCTTCATGGCGTCCTTGTATACGGCTTTAGGGTTGACAGCGTAGGGGCTTAGGGCTTTTAGGGTTTAGGTTTTAGGGGTTTAGGGGTTTAGGAGTTTAGGGTTTAGGGGTTTAGGGTTCAGGGTGTAAGGCTTTTTTCCAAGGCTCAGGGTGCAGGGTTTAGTGTTTCGGGTTCAGGGTTTAGCGGTCTAAGACAGCTCTGTAAAGGCTTTATAGGGGCGTCCTCGGAGATGCGCTTCATGAACTCCTTGGAGTCATCTCCTCTCGCATTGAAGGCTTCAGGTTTGGATTTTAGGGTGCTTCTGTTTATGCCTTTAAGGCTTAAGGTGTTTAGCTCCCGAGAGATAGGGTTTTAGGGGCCAGGCGTTCAGGCAGTTTCGGGCTAACTTCTTGCCGTCACTTCCTCACGGATTGAATGATTCAGGGTTCAGGGAGTGTCGGGCTTTAGGAGTCGTCAGGCCTGGATGGTCTTGGTTTTGGGACTGGCGCTGTAAGGTTTTCGGGAGAGGCCCGCCTAGCTTTCGCGTTGTAAGCCTCACACGAGGCTTCCTTGAATTGTTGAAATTGGTCGTACCTTGTTTTGACGTGCAAGGCCTGTATCAGGGCTCCGCCATTGCATCTTGATCTCTTTCTGCGTACACAGTGTTGTGAGATGCCTTATTGAGATACCCCGCGGGAACCAGCAGTTTGGAACCACCCCCGCGCTGATGTATAGCGCAGGGCCTAGGTTTAAGGCTTCAAGTCTTGGGCTCGGATAATCTTAATGATCATAATCAGCACAACCATCATCAAGATCAGAACAATGCCTGGTGAGCAATTTAATAGTAATAGAAAATGGTACTGACAGCAATAATAGTAATACTCACAATAAGCATAAGAATAAAAAGTACTCATAATAATACTAATAACAATAAGGGCGAGATCAGAATCTGAGAAGGCGAGGTTTAGAAATAAGCAGGTGAGTCTTGAGAAGGACTGGTCCAGGGATTCGTACTCTTGGTGTAGGATTCACGCTAGGTGCCCGGAACTCAATGTTAGCCTGCTTCCACGGTTTCTTGTTCGAAATCCCATCTCCAATGAGATACTCGGGGGGCATTGGCATGGTGCATCATTTTTATGGTGAAGCTGTGAGGGTTTAGGGTGTAGTAATCTTCACCCGAAATCCCAACCTTAGACCCTAAACCCTGAAGCCCCAAGTCAGTGGTAATAGTAACCATGCTCCTGTAGCACTACAACAGTAACCATAATGGTCATGACACTACTAACAGTGATGATGGTACGCAGAACCACATGTACTCACGACTGACCAAGCACGATCTTCTCGCTCGCCTGCCCGCGGCTCATTGATGAACTTGGCAAGGACCATCCTGGACTCAAGGCTCATCGCCAATGTGGGGTTTAGGGCCTAGGGCTAATATTTTCTGAGATCTGACCCTACACCACAAAAAGCAAATCCGATTTCCGCTTGTGTTTGGAGACAGATCTTTATCTCTCTCTGGTGGACGCATTCCGGCAGTCAGTCAGTCGCTTCTGAACACTAATGCCGAGAAATCCTAGACTAGACCCCAGGTCGAGATGGCAAACCCGAACTCACCCCCAAAGTTGCCGGAGTTCTGGAAACTGAGTCACACCTACATAGCATATAGTGTATGATATATAGTATGTTAGTATATAAAAGTATATAGTGTTTAGTATGGAATATTTTGTATTATACAATGCTTTCTATATAGTATTTTTTGAGCCTCTAGTATATAGTACAAGTATACGGTATTTGGTGTATGTTGTTTGGTATATGGTATAGTGTTTCTGTATATCGCATATACTATATAGTGTACAGCATATATGGTATCGTGTGTAAACAAATATATGCATGCATACATACATACATACATACATACATACATGCATACATACATACATACATACATACATACATACATGCTTATGTTTTAGTACATTACTATACAAACAGGGGCATATTTACTAATTATTTGTCCAGATTGGGACATTTATTCCTTTCAACTGCACCCCTGAGAGCAACCAAAATCTCAGACCAGGCGCGTTACATACCTGGAACCCTAGAACAAGATCATCAACCCCACCTAAACAACAAACCTAAAACCCCAACCCAAACCCGAAATCCCAAACCCTTTACCCGAACCAGCTAGCCTAAAACCCTACATTGAGTTTGATAAGTACCCCAAAATCGTCTTCAAGCTATATCGAGAGTATTATTTCGTAGAAGCCTCAGTGTAGCCGTAGTCCGATTAGAACCCTTTGAAAAGCCCTGAAAGGGACCCTTTTCAGCCCCCACCCTAGATCCTCCCTTTTCAGTCCCTTGTACTACATCTCAAGAAGGCGCTTCAAGGCGATCTCCGTCATCTCCGCACTTTCGCCCAGCTCCTTGCGACGGCCCCCAGTCCCAAGACATGAAAATGCAAAGGGTTTAGGGTTTAAGGCTGAGGTTTCGGGGGTAGTCATTGATAACCCGAAACCCTCAAGGTCCCCCAAGGGTCCGCGAAGGGTTGCTAGAGGGACGGAGCCGGGGTCCTGAAGACTTAAACCAGGGCTGTGAGGTGCGTTCTGCTGTATTCCGACCGGGAACCCTGGGCCCCTAAGGAACGCTAATCATTCCGGCCTCTACCTTGGGCTTTTGGCGGGCATCTCGTCGGACCGGAAGCCTGAAACCTTCTTTGTACACCGTGCTACTCCGACCGTTGCGTGCTACGCAACCCCCTTCTCCGAAGCACGACGCTTTAGGAGCATTGGTGAGCATCGTGGCAGCAGCAGAAACAGAATCAGTGATGATATTGTGGCATGTATTCAAAACCCGCTCACTATTGCCCAGCGATGTCAGAAGTTAGAATCACTCACAACAGTCACAGCAATACGAACGACGATGACCTCCACGAAGTGTCAATCACGACATTTTCCACATCTTGCTCCAAGAACTCGCTCCATTGACGGTCCACTCTCGGCCCCAACTGTCTCGTCGACCGACTGCCGAAAGAAAGCAAGCCCAAAATGGCCAGCGGACGCAAAAACCATCCTTGAAGCTCCGGATCCCCACGAACCCTACTCGCTCGCAGGCAGCCAGCTGCTGGTGCTGCTGGATGAACACAAGTACGTTAAGTTGATTTTTTCACATAGATTATTTTCTTCTCTAAGGCTCTATTCGCACATGAGCTGTCGACTAGGCCCTAGGCTACACCCTGACCAGAGCTAGAACCACCAATGCGAGAAAGCAAAGGGAAAGCTTGGAATCAAAATCACGGCTCCTTTTGCTTGCGCTGGTTCTGCGACTTGGTGACGTTGTCGATGAAGACCTCGGCTCCAGGGCCCCTGCCACCAGGAAGGCGACTTCGAGCGACCCTTGCAGGGTGCAGTGGGCAGATTGTTCGTTGGAAACCCTTGCTTCTCGTCGAGCGGCCGGCACGAGCCGCGAGGACCCACAACCCGACACCAATCCATCTCTGTGCAATGTGGTCGTTTATGTGTCGAACTGCGAACGGAAGCTCAGAGCAAGAAAGCCCCCTTGAAGGGGAGTTTTGGGGTGTGAACCCTAAGCCATAATTGAGAATAGTTGGGGTTGTGGGGGCTACATGCTGACGCAAGCGCGCGATAAGTGGTGCGCCCCTATTGCCACCGCGGGCACCCTAAACCCTATCAAGCCTACACCCTACACCCTAAACCTTGTAAAGCCTGAGGGCTACATATCGTCGGAGGTTGGGCTGCCGCCAGGGTTAAGTAAAGAAGCGCTCTCCTACACCCTAAACCCCTAAAACCCTAAACCGTGGAATTTTGGCAACCTCAGCTTTGGGGCTTTGAGTTTAAGTTTTTAGGGTCTACTCCTGGGGGGAAGGGGTCTATCTAGAGCATGTGTTGCACAGTGCCGGAAGCTGAGGACGCGACGGCCATGATCAAGTTAAAGAGCCCGACACTGACCAGCATCATGAGCAGGAAGTAGCCGATGAATAGTGGGAATCCATAGCCAAGCTGATTGAACAGAATTTCTGGGATCGGATCGCCATCGTAAGTCTCGCAAGTCCCTGTAAAGCATCGGAAGAGGGTGAACATTGCGCGATCCACACTCTGGAATTCCGGCAACATTTGCCTTGGCTCTTTGCATGTGAAAGAATTCTCGAGGGTTTTGTGCATTGGGTCCTGCTTGATTTCACGCCACCTGCGCCTCACCGCAAACACAACTTCGCGCGTCGGGGACATAAGCAAGCCCAAAGACCAATAGTTTAAAAGAACACAGATAGCAACAGCAGGTGACACAAGTTCATCTGGAAGGAAGGTGTCAGTCGATACTGACCAAGCTTGCTTTCATGACCCTAGGCCCTAGAAGCTCGCAGTTGCTGTCGTTGCCAAATATTCTTTCAAAAACAGATGCCTAACGGGAATGGGGTCAGCCAAAGGGACAACTTGGAGGTTCACCAGAGGTAGCTCGCAGGGTAGGTAGATACCGGTGGCTATTCTAGCGGGATTGTTTCATCCCGTACAAGTAGATCCAGAACCCTTGCTGCATGCGCTACGCATGAACAGACAGAGCAGCCTTTCATAAAACCATGCCACTGACAGTGACAATAACGGTTGAAAGCGTGACAGTAGCGACAATGGCGGCCGAATCTACATACAGTGTCAATGGCAGGGGCAAAGGTCAAGAAATTCGCGGATTCAGAGAAATGACTGGAAACAGCGAAACTGATATTCCTGCAGCAGCGAGATTTGTGGTGGTGGGAATGCTGTTGTCAGATTCCCACTGGACTCGATGTTCCGAGGCACGAATGTACCCCGAAAAGCTCTCGCACGATAATGCCCATGGTGAACACGACGGCCATCAGCAGCACAATCCTGAAAAGGTATGGAGCCCGGATGAAAGATACGACTGCCATTGCAACTACAAGTACAACTACGATCCCTACTCCTACTCTTGCTCCTACTCCTACTCCTACCACTACCACTACCAATACGACTACTAATACTGCTGCTAACTGCTAGCAGCTAACACCACCACCGCCAGCACCACTACCACCACCACCACCACCACCGCCACCACCACCACCACCACCACTACACCACCACCACCACGCCGGCTCTGATTGTTGTGGTCACAACGACGACGAGGACGACGACTACTACTTCTGCTGCTAGTGCACCTATTTCTGCTACTGCTCCTGCTACTGCCATTGCTGTTGCTACTGCTCTTGCATTCCAATTCGTACTGCTTGTCCTGTTCCTGTTCCCATTAGACTACAATCACTAGTTCGGGTGCTATTGATATGTCCATTAGATCTCTACTACGCAATATTCCCATTACCATGTCCAACTGCTAAGTCTATTACTATTACTGATGCTAGTACTAGTGCCAGAAATATTTATGTTACTACGAGCAACATGTTTATTCAATAACTCCCTAAACCCCCTAAACTCCCTAAACCCCCTAAACCCCTAAACCCTAAACCCTAAACCCTACCATTTGACTCGCACACGGTGTCTCGCATCCTCCCGGGCACCCCACGCCCCGACATGCTGTGCCAACTGCAGCAAATTTATCTCTGAGTCGAGGGTTCAGGATTTGGGGTTAGGCTAAAATTTTAGGGTTTAAGGTTTAGGGTTTAGATCCCTGCTTGTCACTTTTCTGCCCAAGGCACGCCCAGAAGAGCGCTTGCAAGCCGCTGAATAGTCCAAGCGCCATCAGCTTCAACTCCTTAGCAGGCTTATAATCGGGGGCCCTTATAGGTAGAATGGGCTTTGGGGAAGTTTTTGGACAAAATATACTGTAGCTGCTGTGGCGGTGATGGGGACAATAAGAGGATAGCACTGAGTATTGATCGTCGATCCTTGACCACCCTGCGCTGACTTCACGCATGAAAAGTTTCACCAATACTAGTACTACCTACTGTATGGTTTTTGGGTCACGAGCTCTCTGTGAATACTACATGTCAGCAATCAACTGCCGTTGAACGCACTGCAAACCCTCAAGTCGAAATCCTTACAGCAAATTCTTCCGAAATCTCTCCAATCAAGCCAGGCGTCCCTGAATATCTTATACCGCATCACGCGAACGAGACGGGCCAAACGAGCCAGCCGCAGCACCTTGGCTTCAGGGATTAGGGTTTGGGGCATTTAAGCCCAAAAAAAGCTCTCATAAAAGACCCTTACCAAAAAAACGATAAGGCCATCAGACAACAGCGAAGAAAGGGCCGTACAAAGCCCTTCAGAAACACAGGCCTTTAGCCTCTGAAGCCCGGCAGCCCGGATCCTGAACCAGAGATCCTCTAGCTTACAAGCTAGACCAGAGCCCGGAGCCAGAAGGACTGGTCTGCGGTGCAGGCTCTCAACGTCTACAACAAAAAGGCTGCAGAGGGGTTGTAACAGGTGCCTGCATAATTCGACTGTTGCTGTGGGGGGGGGGGTTTTACCATAGATCTTTTGAGGAGCCGGAGACTAAGGACCTAAAAACGATAAGGATATTACCGCAACCGGCTGGGTTGGCTTTTCTGCCAGCCACGGCAAGCAACTTTCTTTTCTTTGGGGGGGGGGGGGAGGAACGACGCTCAAAAGCTCAAGGGGCATCCGGGCTTAAACCCTGAAACCCTACCCTAAACTCAGAGGGCTTCGCCTACCCCTTTCAGCTCCTCTGGTGCTTAGGCTTCAAATAGGATTGTAAGGTTCTCAAACCTGGGGCTTCGGGTTTAGGGTTTACGGTTTACGGAAACGGGCTCAGCGTGCTTTCTTTACGTTCGGGTTAGGGTTTAGGGTGCTTTTGCCTCCTGCATGGCTGAGCAAGTCGCTAGGCAGGGTCGTGGGGAACGAGTGCATTCACAGGGCTTAGCACACCATGTACAAACCCCAAGCTCCGGAGCCCTAGACCCTGAGCCCTGCTCAAGCCAACAAGATCCCTATAGCGACGCAAAGGCAAGAACCTACCCTTTTTGAAGGACCTACATACGGAAAATCATGATAGGGAACCCTAAAGGAATAGGTTGCTTAGTGTCCAATAGACACTAAACCAAGCCGATTGCCCCTGAACTGATATAAACCCTGGCCTTGAGCAAGTTGAGCACCCCTCGCTCGCCATCTTGTCCTGGACCAGAACTTGAGGGTTTAGGGCTTAGGGGTTTAGGGCTTCGGGGTTTAGGGCTTCGGTGTTTAGGCCTTAGGGGTTTAGGGCTTTGGGGTTTAGGGCTTAGGGGCATAAAATTCTATCTAGGGTTTCGGTACACCTCTCTATGGCCTACGTAGGGTTTAGGGTTAGAGTTTCAGGAGTAACCCTAAACCCGCTTAAGCCCCTAAACCTGAACCTGAACTCCAGACCCCAGCCATTAAGAAAGTGCTGGACAGCGACGGAAAACTCGGGCTACGCATCTGAAACTCAAACGCTGCAAACTCCGCAAACCTCAAAAGCACGTGCTGAAAGCCCAAAGCCCGAAACCCTAGATCTAAAGCTTTAGCAAAGAAGAAACGGAAATAAAGCCGAGGGAATCCCAACGCTAGTCATGTGCGCAACAGTTTTCTGAACAATTCTGGAATGTAGAACCCTAAAACCTAGGATCCTTGTTTGGAAAACCCCAGCACTATTAGGAAGACCCTAACTGAGGGTACCCCAGCTTTCTGAAAACTCCCAGGTGCGCTTGTGAGAGCTATCGTTCCTAGACTCCTAGACCCTCAACCCTAAACTCAAAGCATAGGCCGCCCATCTACTGTGGGTTGGGGGGGCTTAAGGCCCTCGCAATCGATGGCGAAAGGCCGATCAGGACCCCCACCTCCCCACAGCGATTTCAGCATTCACGCCGGACCCTGTGCCGGAACACGTTCTTTTCCCGGCACCAGCACTGGTCCCTTGAACCCAAAAGGATCTGGATGTTTTGGGAGCGCCCCAAAACTGCGCCAACCAGGACCCAACCCTGCTCCACAACTTTGAAGCCGTCTGGCGGCCTTTAAAGTTGAAGTGCTGGATGCCCAAAGCGATAAAAAAAAAAAGCGCGCTTTGGCATGAGCCTAGGCCTATAACCCCTAAAAGTAATGGGCTTGGGCGCCTTATGCGGCGCGACACAGCCTTGTCTCAAGATACTGTGGAGGCGCGACTCCGCGGCAAAACCCTAAACCCTGTAATAAACCCTTTTCCACAGGCTCGAACTGAGCTCACCCAGCCAAGTCCCCAACCCTAACCCCTATAATAAACCCTAAACCCGAAACCCAAAACCCTAAACCCAAAATCCTCAATCCTAAGCCCTGCCTCCTTCGACGGCTTGCGTGATGTAGGAGATCGTGAGCTCGATCATTGAGATGATTAAGCATGTGAAGTCGAAGATATTCCAACCTCCGGAGCCACAAAGGAGTTCTTTTCCCCTAGGGTTTAGGGTTTGGGGTCCAGACCACACAGGAGTTGAGGTTTAGGGTTTCGACTCGCAAACTCGCTCACGCAGTCACTGCTTCAGGTTGACTCGCTCCGATTTGGGGTTTAAGTTGAGGGTTTAGGCTTTGGGTTGGAGGCTCGGGGCAGTAAAGGGCTCTGCCAGAAGAATCTGAGGAGGCCACTGCGATCGGCTCCGACGAAGTACTGCCATCCGTCTAGAAATGCCAGCTTCACGATGCACTCCTCCAAGTTGGTTCAGGTGACTTGCTCTCTTTCAGGGGTCTGGGGCTGCAGACACCAAGCAGACACCCGCAACCCAGTCTCAGTTAGTAGTATCCATGACCTAAAAACTGACCAATTCCGCCCTGTATGCAAACACCCTTTTTCCAACTGGGCTCAATCAAATCTAGCCAGTTTCATCCACCCTTCCATCGTATTGACTGAGGAGCACGCATGCCATCATCCTCGAACACACGACAGACTCCAAGACTCCAAGCGCACTCAAGAGGCCAGAGCCCCCATATGGTAAAAATCTTAAACCCTCACGCCCCAGACCCGAAGCACAGTGTCCAGCAGGTAGATGCCAACGAAAATCACCTCCATCACCTGCCATAGTGTTCGGTCGGACGCCGGGGCATCTGCACCTGAGTTTCATGATGTTTCAGGTTTAGTTTAGGGTTAAGGTTCGGGGTTTAGGGTTCAGGGTTCAGGGTCTAACGGGTCGCAAGAAGGATGCTAGCACGCGGTGTCTGCGATTGAATCACCCTCTATCTATCTTAACGTCTTTATTGGGGCGGGACGGGATGTGGGCTTGAACAACTGTGCTAGTTGTGGTTGTGCTTTAGACGACCCATACAACTAATCGCAACAACCAGGCACAAATCCCCACTTCACAACTCGGCGAAGACAGGGAAAAGCCCGCAGGGATAGGGAGCTTCGTAACCGCGACAACAGCTATCAAAACATCAGATAGAGGCATAAACGAGAAGCAGAAACAAGGCGGGAGTTTTTCGCGCTGATTGAAGAAGCCAAGGCCCAGAGAAAGGCGAAAGGTACCCTGAAGAAAGCCCCTGGTGCCGAACAAGCTCCCAAAGCTGTTTGCTATTATTCTTGTATAGCTGCCATAACTGGTACTGTTATTAATGATATTCGCAGCAGTGTTGTTAAGAGTGTCATCATTTGCTTGTCATATCATCATTCATTTAAATAAATCTTCAATCCAAGTGCCACGTCTGTTGCTACTGCTGGTTCAAGTTTAAGGCCTGGTGCTTACTTCAGGCGTTCGGTATGCCATGCTGCTTCTCGACTTCGGGGCTTGCGGTGCAGGCCCTGGCTCTACCTTGAACCTAAACCCTCAACCTTTACGCTCCATGTCTATCTATCTCTATATATATATAGAGAGAGAGAGAGAGATATATATATATATATATTCATATTGAAATATCATATCTCATATTAGATAGTATCATAGTATGAGTATAATTATGCAGTATAAGCTTAAGCTAAAACCCCTGCGCTACACGTCAAGGCCAAGCCCAAGTCGTCCCAATCCCCACATCCCAAGCCGAATTCCGATCCCCGAAGCCGCATGCATAGAAGCTTTGCAGACCTATCGAACCCTTGAAGGGTTTAAGAGTTTAGGGTTTAGGGTTTAAGGTGCCTTTTCAACCCGATAAAACTCTGTAGAACCAGAGCCAGCAGGCTGATTCCAATGGCCAGTGCATTCAGCGAGATAACGATAACAATGCCGACCTGAGCAAAAGCTTCAGGATCTAATGCAGACCCATGAACATGTAAAATAGGGTTCTGACACGTTATAGCATAGGCAAAGCGGAGTGCAATAGGAAAAGCGTACTGGTTCTTCAGACCCAAAAACTGTAAAATCCCTTCCGTCATCCGAATGGAAACAATGCCGCGAACTGGCAAATCCCACGATTCTTGGAGAGTTTCGGGCATTAGGTAGGTCGTGGGGGGCAATGTCGGATTGAGGGAAAAGTGTTCGTTTTGAAGGGTTAGTAAACCAAAAAAAGAGTAATTTTCAAGCGGTGGGATGTTGGAGGTAGGGCTTAGGGGGCTTAGGGTTCCAGGCCCCTAAGCCCTTTGGGGCTTAAGATTCAGGAGTTTAGGGGTCGAGGTTTAGCAAAGATTCCCCATGGATGTTCCCAACTAAGCTGGTTCCAACACTCCTGGGTGTCTTTAGTAAACTTTCCCCTGGAAGCTTCCTTTTGGAAGCGCGCGAAGGGCCTAGGAATTCTGCGCGACAGTGTAGGACTTCTGCAGCCCAAAGCCCCGCAGCAATAGAAAAATCGCTAAAACTCTCATGCCCCGATTTTGGGGGGTTAAAGATGGTGGCTTTGGGGTGTACGGCTTTCTGGCTCGAGGGCTCCAGGGTTCTGAGGTGAGGGGCTTTCTACTGTCACAAGGCAGGCAGGGCTTTCTCGGATTTTAGGGTTTAGGGATTCGAGATGAGGGCTTCGGGTAAAGAGCTTGCAAGACTGGATTTCGGGTTCAGGGTTTCTTTTGCCTCCTGCATTGCTGAACGCCAAGCCTTTCGGGGTGAGGGTCACAGAAGCCCAGTGGCATCCATCATTACTCGGGCCATGTAGATCCGCTGCCGCTGCCGCATGACATCGGCGTCCTTTGCGTTGCAAGAATGCAGGGTTTAGGGTTTAGGGTTTAGGGTTAGGGTTTAGGGTTTAGGGTTTAGGCCAACCTAGAAAGAAAGGTAGTGACAGTACCATCGGAGCATAAATAATTTTGAGCACACGCCAAAGACGCGTGCAATCTGCGAACAATTCCGCACGACCGTGGTGGGCCTGCCGGTGCTACAATCATCAGAATCATCACCGTCATCATCATCATCATCATCATCATCACCATCATCATCATCACCATCATCATTATCTTTCTCCATCACCCTTATCCATCATCTTTATCCATCATCATCACCATCATCACCATCATAGATCATCATCAGCATCATCATTATTCTCCTCATGATTGTCATTCATCATCATCAACATCAACCGTCATCACCAGCAGCATCATCACCATCATCATCATCATCCCGCATCATTATCATCATCATGACGTTCTTCTTCCTCTCCTCTCTGTCTTCCTCATCGCACTCATCATTATGCACTGCATCATGACGATGTTCATCACCAACGGCACGGTCTTTCTCAGCATTCTCATCACCATCCCGCAATCAGCACAGTCGTCACAATCACCATCGTCAGCAGCACCAGCAGCAGCAGCAGCAGTGATGCTGTTATGCTCGCCCTCGATGACATGATCAATACTCAAGTTCTTGGAGCGATCAGCAGGGCATGTTGTTGTGGACGATCCAGAGGAGAGAACAAAGACACTAGCACGTTTCGCGGTTTCACCCGTCCGGACACTGCTACCGCTTGGGCGACAGAACACGACGGCATGCTGCTGCTGTGATAAGACTCAGCTTCAGCGAAGAGACAGACCCAGTATTGGCAATCGTACAACGAATCCCGACCAACATCGTCGGAATGAGATATGTGCGAGCCATAGCGATAACGAAGCCTGAAAGCATGGTGTTAGTGACTGGTCCTGAGCCAAGGATGACAGCAACAGCATCGTCGTCGCATCGAACCCTAAACCCTAAACCCTAAAAAAAAGACCCTAAACC